ATGAAAAACAGGTAGTCCCCAGGTTACAGGTGATCTATCCTAAGTGTGTCCTGTAAGTCGAAGTTGTAGGTAAGTTGAAAAAGGTTCATACAGTTCCTAGTCTTACTTTAGTGCTGTGAAAGGCTTGAAGCCTTTTTAATGATTTAAAAGCTGCACATGTGGCTAGTAAAGGTGATTGTGATGAAGAATTTCTTGTGAGTAGGGGTGGATTCAGTCATATCTAAGTGAGGGTAAACTTATGTAATATTAAAGGACAAAAAAGAGTTGTCCTTCCAAAAAACACTCACTGCCATCAAGTGGGTTCCAACTCATAGTCACCCCCATTGGGTTTCCAGGGCTGTAAAACTTCACAGAAGCGGACTGCCTCATCTTTCTGTTGTGGAGTGGCTTGTGGGTTCAAACCACCAACCTTTTGGTTAGCAGCCAAATGCTTAACCACTACACCACCAGAGCTCCTTAGAATTGTCCTAAGTCAGATTTCCAGGAACTGCTTATATTAGGTTTAGTATGCCACCTACTGGATGAAGTGAGTGTAACATTATAAACTTAACCTTTGTATAAACACTGAATATTTTGTTCTTGACACTACCTACATCCATCCCCATTTCCTGTATATATCATCAGTTTTATAGATTGTTTGAAGAATACTAAAAGTAGCCAGTGTGAACTTGTGTCTGGTTAATGGTGGATCTTGAGATAAAATATCTTTTTAGATAAATTTTTGGGATGTAGACCATGTATTCTTGACCAGGAAAGAATGTTATCATGTAAAGGAACTGGTATATTTTATAAACTACGTGAGTACTTTATTCCATGGAACCCCTGACTTCAGTAATTCCTTATTTTTTAAAAAATTTAAATGCCCTTATATTACTGGTAAAAGTTACAAGCAAAACATTATTTTTGCCAAGTAGAACATTGATGTGTATGTTCATAATTTAAAAAAGTCATAGCTTGAACATTCAAGTCATAACTTGAATACATTGTAAGTTGGGGATACTTTTATTAGGTCTCTCATGTATATCCCTTCTTTTTGTTTCCATTGCCACCACCCTATGTTGCATCTATGTATGTTCAGGACTTCTTTATCTCACACTTGGGGTCGTTTTAAGTCCCTTCCGTTTTATACTTCCCACTGTTGGTGACGTTGAGCTTCCTAAAGCGCACTAAATGTAAGCCTTTCATCTTTTCTGATGCTTTTAAAGGAATATTATCTAGAAATGCTAAAGATCTTCATACCCTAATTCTCTCCTGGTTATAAAGATGAATAAAACTGTGATCTAGCTTGAAGGAGTATTTGTAAATATTTATAAGATTTTATATCTACATAAGATGTAACACTTTTCAAAGGATGCTTTAATATTCTAGAACCTTCTGTACTATAGTTAAATACCTTTTGAAAAATAGCACAGAAGTTCTTAAGAACATTGAGACTATATGCCTTTTGTGCTTTTAAAGTTAGCCTTTGGATTTTGTTATTTAAAACAAATGTATTTTTTAGGTGCTGGGAAGACAACGCTGCTTAACTATATTTTGACAGAGCAACATAGTAAACGAGTAGCTGTTATTTTGAATGAATTTGGGGAAGGTGAGTGAAATTTAGTGAATGCTGTGCTGCAACATTTTAGAGGAGAGTTGATTTCACTGGTGAGTTTTGATACTCTGTATTGAAAACTGAAAATACAAGGTTTTATAATATGAACACATGGATTAATCTTTGGAAAGATTAGTCACTTTCTACAAAGCTATATTTTGTATAACTTTGGGGTACTGAAATCAGACACTGTCTACAAAGTTGTATTTTGTGTAATTTTGGAATTCATACCAATAGAATTAAAAAACATTTTTATGTGAAATTAACTACAGAAGTAAGTATCTAAACATATGAAAGGAAGTTTCTTTTGTTTGTTTTTTACTGATCCAAACCCATTTCCATTGAGTCAATTCTGATTGATTAGCTACCCTATAGGACAGGGTAGAACTACCCCATAGAGTTTCCAAGGCTGTCATCTTTTTTTTTTTTTTTTGGTTGTTGTTTTGTGCCATCGAGTACTCAGGTATTTTCTTTTCTTTTTTAATTTTTTATTGTGATTTGGGTGAAGATTTACAGAGCAAATTCACTTTCCGTACAGCAGTTCACATATACTTTGTCTCATGACATTGACCATAGTTTACCACAATGCAATAGCTCCCTTCCCACTTCCTCCCCATAGTTATCTCTTCCCAGTGTCCATCTCTCCATGCACTCCTGCCCTCTGAGCTGTCTCCCAGTGCATAAGCAGTCCTTCTTTCTCCCATGATTGTTCTCTCCAAGAAGTGTATCTACCTGAGGTAAGTGTTCAACTCATATGCCTGTCTTTTGTTTGGCTGGAAACCACGGGTGTGGGTTCAATTCCAGACCTGAAGGGCAGCTAGGGGCCATAGTCTTAGTGATTCCAACAGGCTCTATTGGACCAGCAAACCTGGTCCCCATCCCCCCTTCTTTTTTTTTTTCTCCAAATGATTTTGAGTTTTGTTCCACATTGTTCTCCCTCTCTATCAAGGATCTCCTACATAGATCCCCTTCCAAGTGGATGACATTGTTAGCCGGGCACCATCTAGTTCTTCTGGTCTCATAGTCATATAGGCTGCAGATCGGATGGTGTACCAGTTGCTGTTGTTGTTGTTGTTGTTTGCCATCGAGTCGGCCCCGACTCCTAGCGACCCCTCCTTGGGTTTCCGAGGCAGTTATCACTACGAAAGTAGGATTGCCCAACCTTCCTTCCGAGGAGTGGCTGATGGGTTTGAACCGCCAGCCTCCTGGTTAGCAGTCAAGTGCCTTGGCACTATGCTACCATAATTATTTCCATGAATTCTGGCTTTCTTCATTCTTCTTTGCTCTTGACGAGGTGAGACCCATTGTTGCATCTAGGTGGCAGCATGCTAGCTTTCAACATCCCAGACGCTACTTGCCAAAGTAGGAGGTGGAACAATGTTTTGTATAGTATGTTATGCCATTTGAGCTTGATGTCCCCTGTGACTATGGTCCCAAGCCTACAGGTTCAACTACTTGGTCCCTCTGGGTAGCTGGCTGTGACCAAGCCGTGACCACAACCTTGCCCCTTGTCAGCTCTACTATACACCTGGGAATTCTGATCATTCACATAAACTTATAGGACCATCGTCTGCCAACTCTATACATGTTCTTGGATACACTCCCCATTTCATAGACATACCTAATAGTTCACCAAGGCTGTCATCTTTATGGAAGCAGACTGCCACATCTTTCTCCTACTTTTTACTGATAACCAGATAAAAATTTCATTTGTTTCTAGTATGTTCCACGTAGGAAAAAGTAAAAGGAAACAAGATTCAGGGAAATTGAATTGTATTCTTTAAACTTGAGAAAGTGCTTTTGTACTGATTACATTGTTTATTGTAAATTATGCAAAGTAATTAGGAAATTATGAAAAATATTTAAAAATACTTCAGTTATTATAAATACACATGTTATCTGCAAAGCAGTTAAAACTGAAGATTTTAAAATAGTTAAATACATAGTGTCCACCCTCAAGGAGCTTAAATTATCTGTAAAAATGTATGTATTTAAATTTCTGATTTCTTTAATTTTAAATCATGAAAAATCTATGTAACAAAACCAAAAAGCCATCCAGTTGATTCTGACTCATAGCAACCCTATAGAACAGAGTAGAACTGCCCTATAGGGTTTCCAAGACTGTAAATCTTCATAGTAGCAGACTGCCATATCTCTCCCTTGGAGCAGCTGGTCATTGGAAACCACTGACCTTTGGGTTAGCACCTGAATGCTTAATCTCTGCACCACCAGGCTCTTTCCATAGAGCAGAGTTAGAATACTTTGATTTCTTTTATAGGGATTTTTCTTCTCAGGTATGAATTTGAATAAAAACTCACTTTTAGCCTAGAAAGTGTAATTTCTGTTAGGCTATTTCTTAAAATGTACCTATATTCAGTTGTAGTAAACTAGTGAAAGAGCTGAGTTTTATCAATAGAATAGAAAGACTGTTAGCTAAATTGGATAAGGTTAAGGAGGGAATTACTGTTAGATAAAATAAAAATCCTCAGGCTTTCTAATCTTTAGTGTTTTTTAGTTTCTTACTCATTGACTATCCATTGCACCCTTGATTAATCGTGGCTACATTTCTTATCTCTTCCTAGTTTTCTTCATTCTTTCTGGGTCCTTTTCACGTTTTTATTCTTCACAGCATCCTCAATACTTTCCTATGTATTTTATTAACTTTCTCTGAACCTTGAATTCTGTAGCAGCCCTTCTAAAAGCTCTTTGTCACCATCTCTGGTAGTGTAGTGCCTAAGGCACTTGACTGCTAACTAGAAAGCTGGAGGTTCAAACCCATCCTTTCATCCTCGGAAGGAAGGTTGAGCAATCTACTTCCGTAGTGATACTGCCATGGAAACCCAAGGAGGGGTGGCTATGAGTTAGATATGGCTTGACAGCAGTAAGTTTGGGGGTTTTTTTTGGTTTAGCTAAATATGAACCAAAAGTAAAAATTAAAAACTACTCTCTTTTTTTGACATTTGCTTTACTGAACTTAGAGAACTCTTCCCTGGCTTCAGTATATTTCTTTAGAGGAAAAGTAAAGCATTGTAATTGTTTTTTATATGATAACACACATCTCAGAATCTCAGATAACCCTTTATCTTTTCTCAAGCAAGCATTATTAGGAAGTGTGTGTATATTTGACTAAAGTTTCATTTTTAAGTGAGCAGGTGATTCCCTGGCCAAATAGGTGTCCTTATAATGAAGGCACATGTGTAATTCACACTGGGTATGTTGCGCATACTGTCCATAGAGACAAAAGCAATATAGAGGCAGAATGAAAGGGAAAAAGATGAGAGGATCCCTTAAGAGGTTGAAGGAAGTATACATAAGAGCCCAAATATAAAACATAAGGGCCTATGTAGAAAGTTAACCAAGAACAAGACCGAGTACCTTCATATAGCTGCCTTGTTGGGAAATGGGAGCAGGCATGTCAGAGGCCTAAAGAGGAGACAGGAGTCATTCATTTTGGATTTTTAGGGGTGTGAGTCTTCATTTATTTTATTCTTTGTTTATTTTTAAGAAAGAATTAAAAGCTGAAATAATCCTTTAATTTAAATATTGAGAATATTTTTATGCATATAATATAAATAATATATTTACATGAATAGAATGAGAGAATAATAGTTATAAAATGTCATTTCTGCCTTGAACTCTGGTAGTTACTGTGTGTCCTCATCTTTGTGGTGAGTATAATCTAAACAGTGCTGCTTGTCAATTATTCCAGGAAATGCAGTGGAGAAACCCTTAGCCGTCAGCCAAGGTGGAGAGCTCTATGAGGAGTGGCTGGAGCTTGGAAACGGCTGCCTGTGCTGTTCAGTGAAGTGAGAAGTGTGGCATGCTGGCTTACTGTAAACATTTACTGCTTATGGTTCCAGCTTTGATTTTCTTACGTAATTTTAACTCAATTTACAAAATCTTCATTGTATTTTCACATAGAAATTAGATTTATGAGGATGTGTTTTCTTAAAGTTTTTCTTGCTGTTTTATTCATTTTTTTCTACCTACTCTAATGCTTTGTTGTTTTTACTGAGCTTTCTGTTGGTTTTGATGTCAGGGCTTACTAAATTTATAATCTCTACATACACGAACATCTCATTTTGTCCTTAAAAAATGATTGTTCTGGATTTAATAAATAATTGGTCTTACTTCCAAATATTAATGTCTATAAAACCAAAGGTAAATGTCAAGAAAGAGAAGCCTCATGTTCTGTCCCACCAGTTGTAGTGTTTGGTCTTCTTGTTGTGAGTGATAGTAGTTCTTTATATATTCTAAATACTAGATTCTCTGAATCAATTTGACAGCAACTGACAACAATGTCAGCTATCAGATTAGTGACCTTTAAGGCACAATGATTTTACTTTTGGTAAAGTCCAGTTTATGTATTTTTTCTTTTGTCACATGTGCTTTTGTCATTTGCCAATTTGATATTGCTTAATACAAGGTCACAAAGATTTACCCCCATTTTCTTCTAACAGTTTCATAGTTTTACCTCTTAAATGTGTGTCTTTGATCCAATTTTGTATATAGTGTGGGAGTCTAACTTTATTCTGCATGTGGGCAGCCAGGTGTTCCAGCACCATGTGTTGAAAAGACTTCATGTCACATTGAAATGTCTTGGCACCTTTATCACAGACTTTCTTGAACAACCAAAATGTAGTCCATCAAGTATTTTCTTTCACTTTTGATACTCTTATAAGATAATAAAAGGAAACTTAAGCCCTGGTACCCTAATTCAAAGTAGAATTGAATGGTATTTAGTGACTGTGTCCTCTTAGCTATTGTATTAAATTGCTATAATTTATAAATTTTATCATTATTTTGCATGTTGATATTTTTTCTTTCATAAAGCTATGTAAATAGCAAGTCAAATTGAGTCACATAACTTAAAATTCTGTTTTTAGTTTCAGTAAAGTTATGCTATTAACTCATCATAAATATGAATTCTTTTTACCTGTCAGTGTGTGTGCATCTGACTTGTCCTCCTCATTAGTGAATATTGGAGGAGCATTTTGTTAGACACTTAGTAAGTTAAATTTTCACATGCCCAAATATTTTTGTCTTAAGTTACTAAATATATTTTAAACTGTTTTTAGTGATCACATTAAAACATTCAGGTAATCAGCTGTATATTATGTTTTGATATTTTTCTAGGGACAGTGGCCTTAGAGCTATTGAGAATTTGATGCAGAAAAAGGGGAAATTTGATTACATATTGCTTGAAACCACTGGATTAGCAGATCCTGGTAAGAAGTTATATTAATAACCAGAAAATGAACCTTTTTTTTTTTTAATTTTTGTTATGAAAACATACACAGCAAGACATTTGCCAACCTAACAACTTCCATATTTACAGCTCACATTGATGACATTTTTCATGTTGTGTCACCATTGTTGCTATCTTTTTCCAAATATTCCACCACCATCAACATAAACTCAGTGCCCCACAAACAAAATCATCCCCTTTACCCCTCCCTCCTACCCCTGGTAACCACTAAAAATTTTTGGTTTTTATATACATACATATATGTATATTTTTTTTTTCCAACCTATCTAGGAATTAAGTTTCTCCTTCCCTCCCATCCCTGATAACCAACAGAAAGTTTTCTTCTATGTATAAACTTTTCCTTGATCAGAAAATGATTCTTAGACATTTAAAAATAGATATACTAGAGAAATATTTAGAATAAGTGTTAAAACTTTGCTTTAGATTTTAAAAATATATTTTGGTTCAAAAGAGGGAAAATACTGGGTTGTCATGTTTTCTTCATATTGAACCGTGGATGGCCAGAAGCACAAGCAGACCTGCCTTGGAAGATCTACATCTGGAATGCTCCTTAGAAGCAAGGATGGTGAGACTTTGTCTCACATACTTTGGACATGTTATCAGGAGGGGCTAGTCCCTGAAGAAGGATATCATGTTTGGTAAAGAGGAGAGTCAGCAAAAAAAAGAAGAAGAGGTTCAGCAAGATGGATTGACGTAACGACTGCAAACGTGGGCTCAAACATAACAATGGTTGTGAGGATAGTGCAAGTCTGGGCGGCATTTCATTCTCTTGTACGTAGGGTCACTCAGCGACATCTAAAAACAACAACATGTTTTCTTTTGCAGATGAATGACGATTAAAGCGCTTTTTAGCTGTTAATAGAATTTGATGCTTTATTGATTGACTTAGGGTCATTGGTGAGAACCAAAGTTGTTTAAATATAGAAACTTAGAGGAAAACTGAGATATTCCACTTGTAAGTGTTAGTTGTGCTATATAGAGATCTTATTTTAGTTTATACTTTCTAATCTAACTTTGTAATAAGGTCACTAAGAGATTTACAAGGATCTCTGGTAGCATAGTGCCTAAGGCACTTGAGTGCTAACCGGAAGGCTGGTGGTTCAAACCTACCAGCCACTCCTCGGAAGGAAGGTTGGGCAGTCTACTTCCATAGTGATACCACCTTGGAAACCCAAGGAGAGGTTGCTTTGAGTCGGGCATATAACAACAACAACAACAAGAGATTTACAGCCTCTTGAACTATAATCCCAGCAATAATTATTCCCATTAAAGTAATTGTTAGCATCTTGTTTTTTACTACTAAATTTGAATAATATTGAAATAATAAAATTATTTATAAATGCTTTAATAAGATATGAAAGAATACACAGTTACATCAAGTCTGCTGGTCTTTTTGGTGGTGTGGAATTTAAGAAATGTTTTAACCACAAATGAAAATACATCAAAACTTCCCTATTTTAGAAAATCTACCTGTTTCTAACAGTTGGCAGCTGACTTTCTTACTAACCTCTAATAAAGTCTGCTTATCTTCCTAAATACCTTTAAAGTAGCATCTTTATTCCTAGTGTGGAAGACATTTAGTGTCTGGGAGCCTGACCTATTTCTTTTTTCATCTGGGCCTATGGTATTGGGCTGATTTGCCAATCTATATTAAAGTACTGTTTGGAGAGAATTTATTGAAAGGGTCATAGTGGTCCAAAAGAAATCTACTGAAATCTACTAAAGGTAGGGCCAGAAATCTGGGTTTTAACACACTGTCCAGGTGATTCTCTTTACAATTTTATAAAAAATAATTTTATTGTGATTTAGGTGAAAGTTTATACAGCAAATTAGTTTCCAATTCAGCAGTTTATACAGATTGTTCTGTGACATTGGTTGCAACCCCTGCAATGTGTCAGCACTCTCCTCATTTCTACCTTGGGTTCCTCATTTCCATTTGTCCAGTTTTCTTGCCCTTTGAACTTTGCTTTTGGGCAGATGCTGTCCTTTTGCTATCCTATAGTTGCATGTTCTGAGGATCATGTTCCTCCTGGCTGTTTCTGTTCACTTTGTAGGCCTTTTATGTGGCTGAAAGGTCATCTCTGGGAGGGGCCTTCAGCTCTAAGTTAGAAGGGTTTCTAAGGGCCACAGGAGATCTGGTCTTTTTTATGAGTTTGAATTTTGTTCTTTTTCTTACACTGGGGTATCTTCTGTTGGGATCCTGGTTAGAGTGGTCGGTGGTGGTCCTAGTTTCTAGTTCTTCTGGTCTCAGGTTAGTTGAGGCTCTGGTTCATGTGGTCCATTAGGCCTTGGACTCATTGTTTTCTTGACTCTTTGGTTTTATTTGCTTTTCTTTGCTCCAGACAGAAAGAGACCAGTAGTTGCCTCTCAGTTGGCCACTCATAAGTTTTTGAGACCCTAGTCACTACTTACCAAAGTAGAGTATAGAACATTGTATTTATGGAGTCTTTTTTTATTTTTTTATTGTGATTTGGGTGAAGATTTACAGAGCAAATTCACTTTCCATACAGCAGTTCACATATACTTTGTCTCATGACATTGACCACAATTTACTA